CACGTCAAGGTGCAGTCTCGTTGTTAGTTTTATTACCGCCGACCCGCTCAGTAGTGTCATTAGAAAATTTAAATGAAAATGCCAAGTTCTGGTTTTGTATGTGGAATAGTCTACCACTTCGGAACTCTCCATGTCATCGCGCTGTAACCCCATGAAGACCGTAGAATACGTACAGATCATTCAGGACTCTCTGACGTGGTGTTTTCTGTTAACTATGAGTATAACGTCACGATATGCGGGATGATCATATACCTTGGAATGGTGATAGCTTATTTTCGCTGCGATCTCTTCAACGACCCCATTCACCGGTCAGATCAAGGATGAAACTCCCGTCCGCATCGAACATGGAGATAAAATCAAATTGAGAGTAGCCAAAGTCTTGAAACTTCGGCAAGTTGATGTATGCCATACGAAGACAACAAATTCTTGGATGGCAAGTATGAGCTGCTGCACTAAAGGACAACCATAAAGGGAATCTGGCCAAGTAATAGGGATGGTGGGTTAAACCGATCATATATTTTATTTTATTTTACTTCCTACATATTCATTGGATATCTAATTAAATAATCCATTTTTCAGAAAGGACCTGTGACCAATCAAGGAAAGGTTGGGAAATTCGAACGAATAACCAACTCCGGGTCGCTGTGATGACCACCTTATCCACTTGAGCATAACTGATAAACAACCGAGATTACAGCAACTTCGATTGCATTCCCCATTTTGACCATCGCGATTCATATCAGTCTCCCAACGCTAAGTTGACTCACTGTCCGTTTGCCAATTCCCATTTAGGACGCTTGCTTATCCACGCATGTGCTCACAAAGCCACATCTAAAATGCACAGAAGCAATTGTTATTTATCATCCGCAGAACTGTTCCTGGGCGTATAAAATCATGTCTTATATTATATTATATTATATATATATAATATATTAATATTATGCGTTCACTCGTGACATCAAGGAATGAAGTGCAGAGGTTTTAATCAGTATCGGTCTGGGAAAGACTTACCAATATCGAAATGGTAAACTTGGCATGGTCTCTGCATGCAATATTTCGTGCCCAGACAATAGGCTCGTAGAGGAGAGCCGAGAAAAACGACACCGGTTTGACCCGGACACCATACGGGCTTGCACAGAGCTAGGCCGGGTAACTTTTTCTCATCAATCAGACGAGAAACTTGACCAGACGCGACATCCAAAAGACAAAGCACTGTTTGTCGGACACCGTCCAAACCTTCGCCCCAATCTTCTTCATGTCGGAATATGCGATAGTCCGAATTATCATCATCTGTGCCATCCACCTCAATTCCGTAAGACAACAAAGGAGAAGAGCGAAATCGAACACACCCCGAGAAAATAAACAGATCAATTACGATTGTTGTTTTAATTATGCATTTAAAGTTTGATGAAAGGAGAAAAGGATCCAGCTTATTCATGAATTTCTCAAGTATTTTAGCTAACACCTGGTATGTGATCCCGAAACGGGCGCATACGATGATGTGAGTCAAGCCATTTCGTTGGAAGCTGGACTGTACCAAGAAATAGTCTACCTGATGCTAAGCCCTGCCGTCATTTGAAGGTCAAGTGAAGAAATCATTTTGAGGGTGCTAGTGTGGGGTGAAACCGAAACTGATTGACGTTCGGCTGTATAAACTGCGTGGCGGCAAACACCGTGACAGAAGACGCTGAGAACAAGGACCAAGACAACACCCACACGTAACCTTACCATTTTACATTATAATCACTCCATATCCCTATAATGTTGCTACGTTGGTATTAATATAACTTCGTTCAAGCTCTCCGAGTCTTCTCCCAGTTTGGTGTATACTACACTAGACATGTACAATCGTGATCACCAATAGGCTTACCGTTTCCACGGTGTCCGTGGAGATCGAATTTCCCTAGAACATGGCAGGTAGCAGAATCAGGCTGTTAATGTGCACCAGACCAGGGCTTTTGGAAGCCAGTTGAAATCCCGTGTCTCGTAAAAAACGATAAACACAAAAATTATCAAGTGTACGATGAAACACAAATTTGTTGTTATTCGTGTTATCCATTGTAACTGTTCAACCTCCATTTCACCCTGATCTGTATCTCAATTCCTCCATTCCCTGCCATTAATATCATTGTTGCGGCGTTGGCACCACACTTGTCCCTAAGCCTATGTTA